TCCCCCAGCCCTGGGCCTGGCCTTGGGAGGAGGAGGGGAACCAGCTGAAGCCCCGCTGACACCCGGAAACCACAGCTCTAAAGGCCGCGTGGGCCAGGGTCAATGGAGTTTGCAGACAGTGACCAGCACCACTGGGACGGAGGGGGTCTGCCACCCTGCAGCCCGTGCCCAGCGCCAGTGCCGGGGGCTGCTGGCCTCGAGCCCCTGCGTTCCCTCCACGGCCCGATGATGCACCGCTCAACAGGTGCACGCAGCGCCGCCGCGGGCCGCGATCCACACAGGGTGGGCAGGGATCTGCAGGGTCGCGTCCAGTCCCAGCCCTGCCCCAGGCAGGATATGCACTGCACAGACCCCAAGGCAAGGCCGTGCCCCCGCTGCAGAGCAGCCCCAGGGAAGACGTGTTCCCCGAGTGCCAGGGCTGCAGGGTAGTCCAGCTTGGAGGCAATCCCACGAGCCGATTCCCTGGTGCCAGGACTGGACCCCTCACCTCTGGGGAGCTCCCCCACCCCGACCAGGATCTGCCACCCACCCCGGGGCAGCCGGACGATGGCACAACAGGCAGCAGCTCAGGAGGGCCCCCGGTGCCAGGGCCAGGTGCACGAAGCCGTGCGGCCAGGGGGTGGTGATACAGGAGGGGGCGACGCCGAACTGCTGGGTACAATCCATCTGCAGCCGAGGGAGACGAACACCCGCGCACGCCCAGAGGCCCGAGTGTCCGGCAAGCCCAGCTGGCTGCGGGGCGCTGCACAGCACCCCAGGAAGGTGCCAGACCGAACGGGCAGAGAGATGAGGAGCAACGACGAGGGGCTGTCGGGAGAGACGGGGCAAGCCCTGGAGGAGCGGGAGACGGGCCTGGCAGGGGTCTTGCAGGGCAGGAGTTTCCCCACGCCCAGCAGTGGGGCCCCGAGCAAGCACGCGGCGCCTTTAACGCCCCTCCCCGGGCGCGAGCAGATGTAGTTTTCTGCTTCGTGCCTCTGCAGCGCGGAGACAGAGCCTGGCCCCGCTCCAGCGCTTCCCCTCGGCCGGCCCTGAGCCCCGAGCTGCAGGCCTTGCCGGGCACGGCCGGCTCTCCCCAGGCCAGGCCTGCTCCGGTTTCAGGAAACGGCCCTCGGCACACGTGAGCAGCCTGCTCTGCATTCGTGCGCGTGCTGCTGCCGCCCCCTCTGCCCGCCGCGGGGCACGGAGCGGGTCCCGTGCGAGCCCCCCCAAAGCCCCGGCACGACTGGGTGCAAAGAGGTCACCCCCTCCGGCGGGACCGGCAGAAGCAGCGCGCCCCGTGGGACACGTCAAGGCCGGGGCTGAGCTTGGCAGCCCGGGTGGGGGCAGCACAGAGCCAAGCTGACGGCCAGCTGCCCCGCTCACTCGGATGGGGCGTTGACTCTGGAACCTACTGACCGCAGCTCAGCTGCCAGCAGTGTTGTGATCTCCCCCTGCGCAGCGTCAGCAGAACCGCCCAGCTAAGACACCGCGCCAGGCCCTCCCCACACCCTGCGATCTGCTCCCGCCAGCCTCGGGGGCACCGTGGAGAGGGCACGGCCTCCACTGGCCACGTCTGGTGGGGAGCACAGGACTCGGCTGAGTGCTGTCACCGTGAGGGCCCCGATCCTGCCCTGTCCCAGGCGCGCGGGCACCCCACCCACTTCCTCTCCCCGCTTGCAGGGCAGCACGGCCTGGCTCCAGGCTACTTCCCCCGGCAGGCAGTGGCTGGGGGGGGGGGCGGAGC